CAAATCTTGGCCCCAGTGCTTGAAAAACATGCCAGGGGCATGGATGTATCCTGAGAGGAGGATGGAGTACAGGGGACTGCAGTATGGCCATTCCCCCGGCATGATTTCTCACTTTCCCCTCTCTCTTTCTAGCTAGCACACACACCCTATATAACATACTTGATAAAGAAAAAAAAAATGGCAAGCGGCCTAAACAGACATTTCTCAAAAGAAGATATTATGAATGCCCAACAGATAAATTTTTAAAAATTCAACATCATGGGGACCAGCAGATGGCGTGGTGGTTAAGGTGCTGGACACTCCAACATGGCTAACCACGGTTTGTGGCCCCAATCTGGTGGCTTTCTTTCTCACTTTCCCTCTCCCTCTCTCTCTCTCTCTCTGTGTCTCTCTGGTCAAATTTAAATAAATAAATGAATAAATAAAATTATATTTAAAAAATTCAACATCATAATCATGAGGGAAATGCAAATTAAAACTACAATAGGATACCACCTCACACCTATTGAATGGCTATTACCAAAAAGATGAAGAATAAAAGATAAAAAGTGTTGAGAGTAGAGAAAAGGGACTCCTTTATACTGTTTATATGAATGTAAATTAGTACAGCCATTACAGAAAAAAATATATAGAATTTTCTCAAAAGTGAATTATGATTTGTCATCCCACTTTTATAGTGGTCATTTGGCATCTGTCAGGGACTAGTTAAAAAGCCTCTGCAGAGGGACTGACTAGCAGTTAGTGTAATAGCTATGTTGCTGAACTCCCATGTAGCGGACCGCTGTTTGTGTCCCGGACCCGGTGGCCTGAACTCACGCTGGGTGCGTGTGCATGCATGCCCAGGATCCCGAGGAAAATGGAGGAGAAGGGATTGCAGCGTGGCCATCCCCCCTAGGGGTTGATTTCTCACTTTCTGTCTCTCTCTGTCTTTCTGGCGAGCGCACAAAAAAAACTCTCAAAAAAAAAAAACCTTCTGCAGATACCAAAAACCGAGGGTGCACAAGTCCCTTACATAAGATGCCATAGTATTTGGATGCAAGTCATGCACATCCTCCTGTTTATTTAAATAATCCCTAGATTATTTATAAGTAATGTTAGCATCATATATACATGAAAAGGAATAGTTCTTCAATATTTCTCTTTTAGGGAGTTACCTCTCCTCTTGTTTTATAAACAGTTGGCATGGCCTGGCTGCATCGATCCATGGACGCCAAATTGAAATGAGTATGTTGAAGAGAGGTCTCTACTCCCGTGTTTATTGTAGCATCATTCATTGTAGCCAAGACATGGAAACAACTTAAGTGACCCCCAACAAATGAATGGATAAAGAAAATGTAGTATAGGGCCAGGAGATGGCATGGAGGTTAAGGCACTAGATCCCACATGGCCGATGGCATGGTTCAAGTCCTGGACCTGGTGACTTGAAGATCATGCCAGGCATGTAGGTTTGTGTGCCCCAAATTCCAGGAGAATGGAGAAGGGACTGTGGTATGGCCACCCCCCAAGGAGCATGATTTTTCACTTTACCTCTTTCTGTCTCATTCTCTCTTGAGACAGCGTGTGCCCTGTGGCAAAAACCTAAAAAAAAGACCTAAAAAAAAAAAAAGGAACTCCTGTTATTTGTGACAACATGGATGAACTTGGCAGGCATTATGGAAAGTGAAGTAAGCCAGACACAGAAAGACAAATACTGTATGACCACACTTACACGTGGAATCAAAAAAAGTTGAACTTACAGAAGCAGAAAGCAAAATGGTGGTTACCAGAGGCTGGGAAGGGAGCAGAGAGGGGGGAAAAGGAGATGTTGGTCAAAGGCACCAAGTTTCAGTAAAACGAGAGGAATAAGCGTCAGTGATTTGTTGCACAGCATGGCAACCATGGTTAACAATAATGATGATGAATTACATATTTCAAAATTGCTTAAAGAATACAGTTTACTTACTGTGTATTTTAATTTTGCCAGAGGGTGTGTGTTTGCTGTACAGTGGCAGAAAGGACGTGAGAAAGCACCCCCATGGGGAGTGGGCACAGCACAATCCCGCTCTTCTAGTTCTCTCTCCTTTTGGGATTTTGGGCACACATGCGTGGCATATTTCTCAGGCCACTGGGTCTGGAACTCACACCACATAGCCTGTATGGGATCCAGCTACCTTAACCACCAAGCCACAGGATGGCCCATTTAGTTTTAAGAGACACAGTTTTGCTGTCTTGCTGAGGTTGACCTTGAACTTGAGATCCTTGTGCCTCAGCCTCCCACATAGCTGGGATTCCAGGCATGTGCCACCATGCCCAGCCAAGAGTAAATTTTACATTTTTTTTTTTTTCAGAGAGAGGTTTTTTGCTATAGGGTGCATGTGCTCACCAGAGAGACAGAGAAAGACAGAAAGTGAGAAATCACCCCCCCCAGGGGGTGGCCATGCCAATCCCTTCTCCTCCATTCTCCCCGCTCTGAGCATGCACGCACACGTGCCTGGCATGAGTAGTAGTAGTAGTTGTTCTTCTTCTTCCACTTCCTCCTCTTAATACAAAAAAAATGATGAGTAGGTGAGGTGATGGATATGTTAATTAGTGTGTTTAAATCTTTCTACAATGACTACAGTTATCAAGACAACACATTATGCCCATAAATATCTACAATTAATACTTGTCAACATTTTAAAAAATAAATAAAAAATCAGAGAAGGGTGAGGGACTATTGGTCCGTTAAAACCAACCAAGTTCCTGGCAGGCATGATCTAGAAGCTGAAGGTGAGCGGGGTGGATCAGGTCAAAGGCTGGGAAAGAGGCCTAAGGAGCCATACCTGGCCTTGCCTGGGGCAGCCAGGGAAACCAGGAGAGCAGTGTGCAGCTGGGCAAGGGGGAGCTGGCAAGGTGGGCAAAGGCTCCACTACACGGGGGCCCACTGTGACAAGCCAGAATGACACTCCTTGGTGAGGAGACAAGAACATCACAGGAAATAAGAAATTTTTTTTAAAGAATGACTTTATTTAACTTTATTTATTTTAATTTGATGAGAGAGTGGGAAAAGCAAGCCACCAACTCCAGGACTCAAACCGCAATCAGCCACGTGGAAGTCCAGCGCCCTTAACCACCATATTACCTGCCAGTCCCAACAAGAAACTTTTTAACCCTGTATTTTTTCTTTACTACTCTTTATACTTTTTTTTTTTGGAGAGGTTTTTTTGCTATAGGGCGCGCACTTGCCAGACACGTGCCCGGTGTGAGTTGTTCTTTTTTGTTTGTTTGTTTTGGGTTTTTTTTGAGAGGTTTTCGCTATAGGGCACGTGCTCTCGCCAGAGAGAGACATAGAGACAGAAAGCGAGAAATCACCCCCCAGGGGGAATGGTCATGCCACAATCTCTTCTCCATTCTCCTCTTGGGATCTTGGGCACGCACGCACAGGCCCCCGGCCCAGCGTGAGTTTTAAGCCACTGGGTCCGGGACGTGAACCGCAGTCGACTATGTGGGAGTCCAGCGACATAGCCATTATGCTAACTGCTGGTTCCACTATTCTTTATACTTTAAGAGTTAGTTAACTAGTGCTTGTAGCTTCTGTAACTAATGTGTTATGTAACTATTATAACAAATAATAGTAATAAATAAGTCTGTTTGCTTAGAAGAGGAAACAAGGGACCAGCAGGTGGCGTGGTGGTTCAGGCACTGAATTACCACATGACTGAATGTGGTTCAAGTCCTGCATCTAGGGGCTTGCTTTCTCACTTTCTCTCTCTCTCTGGTCAAATTTTAAAATAATAAATAAAATTACATAAATAATTTTTTAAAAAGAGGATACTTAAGTCACTTGTTTTAGCCAGTAGTCACAAGAATGAAACCAGGACAAGGACTGAGATCCCAGGCAAGAGATCTTAGGAGATGTTTGCTCAAGGGACACAATGTAATATGTTAAATTGGGAAAACTATAATAATGTTATCATTTAACATAATACTCAGATGTTTAAATTATTTTGTTAAATATAGCTTAAAGAAAGTATGCACAGAACAAGTTTGGGAAAATCATGAGGGTAAGAGTAACAATGAACTAGCTAGATTCATGTTACAGATAACAATGAACAAACGAGAAGTGTAATGGTATAATGTACTGGAAATTTCTGTTCTGTGGGTTAGTTTTGGGCTTGTTAGCTTTTGGCCACTTCCTGTGCTCAAACACAACTAAATAAACTCCATTTTGTCCCTCTTTGCTTTGTCTCTTGATCATTCACAGATATGTTTGCTGAATTTTAGCAGGCAATAAGAGAGCATGCCTTGACAAGGGGCTAGGATTTTATTCTAAGCCAGGAATGGGGGGATGTGTTGACAAGATCTGATTCTTGTTTTCCAGTGTTTGAACTGGCTACAGGAGCCTGGGCCCCTTCCCTTCTTCCATGCACCCTATATCTCTACCCCAATGGAGCCCTACCATCCCACCTCCCCATGCACTCCTTTCTCATCTACCCTCCTCCTCCCCAAGCACCCCCTTCTCACCTACCCTCCTCCCCCCCAAGCACCCCTCTAACACACACACACTCCTTTGTCACCTCTGGCCCTCCAGTCTCCTCACCTGGGAGCAGGGCCACATGACAGTGGTAAAAATAACTCCCTTTGACAATGTGTGAATGGGTGGTGGGGCAGGAGGAGGAGGGGGAAGGGCCCCCAGCACTACAGAAGGGACACTTGAGGGGAGGGCAGGGAGGAGCTGGCCCCAGAGCTCTGAAGGCAGCTGAGCCCCTCCTCCAGCTCCACCGGTTACACTCTCATGCACATCCAGCTCCAGCAGCAGTGAACCTAACCAGACAGAAGAGCTCTCAGAGTGGTAAGGAACCCAACTGGGCTGCCTCCCTACACACCCTCGACCCTCCCAAACCTGCCTCTACCTCCCCAATCACTCCCTCAGCCCTCCAGGCTGGAGCTGTCCACCCCTGCCTCCTTGCGCTCTGTCCTCAGGTTCCGCTGCCGCCCAGAACCTTGTGCAGTGGCCTCAGTGATGCCTCTTCACTCTGCCTTGATGACCAGGTGCATTCCCCTTATGCCCAGTCCTCGGGGGTTTCTCTGAGTTCCTGCCCCCATGTCCTAGCCTTCATGGCGTGTATGGCGGCAGCTGGCCTGCAGCGGCCACGGCGGGTGAGCATGCAGGAGCACATGGCCATCGATGTGAGCCCAGGCCCCATCCGACCCATCCACCTCATTTCTGACTATTTCCCACACTTCTACCCCTTTGCTGAGCCCACCCTGCGCACCCCGGACCTGCGCCCTGCAGCAGCCCCAGCCATCCGTACTGCACCCCAGCTGCAGCCCGACCCAGAGCCAGAGGAAGACTCAGACGACAGCAGTGAGTAGGGACAGGGACAAGGGGTACCCTGAGCTCAGCCCAGCCAGGTTGGACCTGAGGTGTCTCTGGCACCCAATTGTGGAGGGGCAAGAAGGCAGGAAGCACAGGGCCATGGGGGTGGGGGATAGGTTGAGCTGAGGCAGGGACTGACCTGCCTGCCACCTTCCCATAGCTGTTCTGGGCACCCTTGAATTCACGCTGCTTTTCGATGCGGACAACAGTGCCCTGCACTGCACAGCCCATCGCGCCAAGGTGAGAGTGTGGGCAGGGGTCCCTGGGACAAGGAGCTGGGCTGCAGGCCTGCCCCACATCCACTGCCTGTTCCCAGGGCCTCAAGCCACCAGCCTCAGGCTCCGTGGACACCTATGTCAAAGCCAATCTGCTGCCTGGGGCCAGCAAGGTGAGCACAAGTCCCAGGGCCCTGCCACTGCCCTTCACACTGCCAGTCTGGGGCACCCTTCTGGCCCTGATTGTCCCCTCCCCCATGTCCCGGGGCCTGGGTCCTAGCTGCTGGGATATGCCACTGGGGATCCTATAGGGGGTATATAGTAGGGAGCGAGGTGTGTCTGGGCCCTAAGAGGTACTGACCTGCCCCGCTTGGCTCCCAGGCCAGCCAGCTTCGGACACGCACTGTTCGGGGCACAAGGGGACCTGTCTGGGAGGAGACACTCACCTATCATGGCTTTACCCACCAGGACGCTGGGCGCAAGACCCTGAGGTGAGGACCTGACCTGAGCCATCAGGAGGCAGGGTGGGGGGAGAGGGTTGGCCTGACCAATCCTCACCTGGGTGGCCACCAGGCTGTGCGTGTGTGAGGACCCACGGCTGCGGCGACGGCGGCGGGCACCTCCCCTGGGAGAGCTGAGGGTGCCCCTGAGGAAGCTGGTGCCCAACCGAGCCAGGAGCTTTGATGTCTGTCTAGAGAAGCGGAGGCTGGTGAGTGGGATTGGAGCACAGGGTGGGGCTGCAGGGGCCAGGAACCTGGCGATGTGGCAGCTGAAGATGGGGGCACACGGAGGGGGCCCGGGCAGGAGCTGGACATGGGGGGAGGGTACAGGCAAGAGGCCTGAGCAGCATCAGGTGACTGGGCTCTCTGCTCTTTTAGAACAAGAGACCCAAGAGCCTGGACACAGCTCGCGGCATGTCCCTATATGAGGTGGGTAGGACAGCTGGACTGAGCAGGGAGGGGGATGTGCAGGCCTGGGATGGTCCTGGTTGAAGGGGGTCAGGCAGGGACATAGGTGGGCCAGGCAGCCCTGGAGAAATTAGAAGACATCTCTCTCATAGGCCCTGTAAGCCTTAGAACCCCCAGGACACAGTCAAGCCCCCATAGCTGGGCAGGGTTAGGGGGATTCCCTTGCCAGGGCAACCCAGAGGAGCCGTGGGGCACTGAGACAAGAAAAGCTGTGGCTTCACAGAGACTCAGCAGTCGTGAGGCAGGGGCCAAAACTGGTGTCACTTGCCAGTGACTCAAGATGGGAAGGCTGGGCAAGGTGGGACAACAAGGAGGGGCTCCCTCAAGTCAGTCCCTGGGACCAGTGTGGGTGCCACTCTTAGGGCTGGTTATGCTAGGCATGTCCTTGTCAAGTGGCAGTGAAGGTGACTGTAAGCCCCTCTTGGAGCCCACTGGAGGCCAAAGTTGTGGCCAGACCCCCTGTGGCTCAGCAGGGGAGGGGACCTGCAAGGCTGAGGCAAGGCCCCCGGAGGCTCCTCTCAGAACAAAGGGCAGGTGCTCTGCTCTTTGTGGAGCTGCAGTTCACTGCAGCGGCCCATCAGCAGTCTGGGCCCGAGGACCCACCCATGTAACGCAGGTAAACCATTTTGCCCAGTGGACATCTGAGCACTGTGACACCCACGAGCAGCGCCATGGTGCAGGGGCAGTGCTCAGAGCGTGCTCCTGCACGGAGAAATGCCTGTGCAGAGGTGGTCGCGCTTTCTGCACTGACTCAGAGCGTGAGAGGCTTCCTCCCTGGTTCTTGGGCATCAGGGACCCAGAGTGCGCAAAAGGAGTCAGAATCTGGTACCTGTGGGGGTGGAACAACAAGGATGTGCTTTGAAGAGACCTGTACATTTTTGGTAAAGAACAGCCTGTCAGCTGGACCAAAGGCTGTTGGCTGGTGGTTAAAGCTTCTGGGTTCCCACATGGCTGACCACGGTTCAAATCCCAAACCTGGAAGCTTACTTTCTCATTCTGTCTCTGGTCAAATTTTTAAAAATAGTAACAAATAGAATAAATAATTTTTTGAGAGGTTTTTGCTATAGGGCATGTATACTTGCCAGAAAGACAGAGACAGACAAGAAGCAAGAAATCACCCCGGGGAGGATGGCCACACCGCAATCCCTTCTTTATTTTCTTCTCAGGATCTTGGGCATGCATGTACAAGTGCCAGTGTGAATTTAAGCCACCAGGTCCAGGACTTGAACCCTGGTCGACTACATGGGAGTCTGGTGGTCCAGTGACATAGCCATCATGCCAACTCCAGTAAATAAATAATTCTTTAAAAAAACAAATAAATAAAAGAACAGCCTGTCAGAGCTGCACCCATGCTACGCAGCTTGCCCTGCAGGGGTGGTCTTGGGCACTTGATGGGGGCCATGCAGGAAGGTCCTATAGCATGTCCATGGCACTCAGAGATCTTCAGTTCCCTTCCCCTCCATGACAAAGACATGCTGAGCTGACCAGTCACATGGCCTGAGCAAGCCTCTCCCCTCCTCAGGCCCTGGAGGACACACCTGACTCAAAAGGTCCCTTCTAGGACACCAGGAAAGTGGCTGTTTTGGGAAATTAAATTGTTGGTCCCTGGTTTCTCTGAACAGTATGAGCTTGGACACTGATGAGGGGCGGGCTTGTGGCTGACTGGAGGCTGACCACAGCCTACACCTGCAGGAAGTGGAGGCAGAGGTGGCTGGGGAGGAACGTGGGCGCATCCTGCTGTCCCTGTGCTACAGCTCTCAGCGGGGTGGCCTGTTGGTGGGTGTGCTTCGCTGCGCCCACCTGGCCCCCATGGACGCCAATGGCTACTCAGACCCCTTTGTCCGCCTGTGAGTACGGGGTGAACAAAGGGTGGTAAGGGCAAGGTGGCAGTTCCTTACCTCCCAGGGCCATAACTAATTCGCAGCATCCTTCCCAGTTTCCTGCACCCAAATACGGGGAAGAAATCTAAATATAAGACCAGTGTTCGCAAGAAGACCCTAAACCCAGAGTTCAATGAGGTAAGCTGGGGCTGGGCAAGTTCCAGTCACCCTTGGCTTGACCTTGCTGAGTCACTCCCCTGATTTGTGAAACTGTGAAGGACCTGGGACCTCCTCTTTCCTGCTTTTCTGCCCCTTTGTTGCAGGAATTCTTCTATGCAGGCCTGAGGGAGGAGCTGGCCCAGAAGACGCTGCTGGTGTCTGTGTGGGACTACGACCTGGGCACGGCTGATGACTTCATCGGTGAGTGGGAATGCAAGGGGCTGTGATGGGAGCCCATAGGCTCCTGCTGACTCCTGACTCGTTCCCCATGGCAGGAGGGGTACAGCTAAGCAGCCAGGCCAGCGGGGAGCGGCTGCGACACTGGTGTGAGTCTCTGGGCCACACTGACCACCGGCTGGAGATGTGGCACCTGCTGGACAGTGCACCCCTCCAGTTCAGCCACTAGCCCTGGATGAACCCACCCAAAGCTGCCCATGTCACCCACATGGAGCCAAAGCAGCCTGGGGGCTGCCTTACCCCCATGCCCAGTCCTTAGTCAGAGAGCTGCTGCTTCTCTCCCCTCCTTTTGAGTCCATCCCACCTCAAATGATGAAGCCAAAATAAACATCTCCTTCAAGTCAGACCAGAGCCTAGCCTTTCTCTGGCCATGAGCCACGCCCTTTGCCCATGGTCTCACAGGGTAGACTGGGTCCCATTTTCCTGTCTCCCATCCTCCCAAGGCTGGGATGAGGCCCAGGTCAAGCTAGGGGTCAGGAAAAGTCCTAGGCCCAGCCCTCACACCCCATGCTGTTTCCTACACTGAGGCATGGTGCTCAGGATGATCTAGGACTGATACACTGCGGCCAAGGTGTGGAGTCACAGCACAGCTGTGTCTGGGAGTAGGCCTCCATGAGCAGTGGGCCAGGACTGTAGGAGAAAAGCAAAGTCACAGAGGAGCTGCAACGGGAACACGGGCAGTACTTGCTTTATTGTCCAGCATTCTGGGCAGATGGACAGGAGCCCCTAGGCCAGGATACTGGGCTCAGGAAGCAGCCTGCCGGGCCTGGTGCTGCTGGGCAAACCGCTGCATCCTCTCCTCAAGCTCTGGCCGGAAGTGGCGGATCAAACCCTGCAGGAAGGGGTACTATGTGAGGCAGAGTCCAAAAATCCCCCTTACCCTAGTGCCACGTAGCAGGGCAGTGAGTACCTGCACAGGCCAGGCGGCTCCGTCACCCAGAGCACAGATGGTGTGGCCCTCGATCTGCTTGCTGATCTCCCACAAGGAATCAATCTCAGCAGGCCGGGCATCCCCCTTCACAAAGCGGGCCATCACCTTGTTCATCCAGTCCACACCTGTGACCACAGCAGTGAGGGGGCCTGAGTCTCCTGTAGCCAGGTGTGTGACTTGAGGAGGGGTGCAGGCCACGTGGTGTGGAGACCACAACAAGCAAACCCCCAGCCAGTCCAAGATGCTCACCTTCACGGCACGGGGTGCACTGGCCACAGCTCTCGTGTTTGTAGAATTCAATGAGGCGGGCGATGGCCTTCACGATGTCCGTCTGGGTGACAGGGAGCAGTGAGGAGGCACCCAATGCCAGGAAGAAGCTTGCGCCCTGGCCCCCTGGCAACACTCCCTCCCAGGTTCCAGCAGATCTTCCCAAGTATTCTGGCCTCCTTTGATCTTCCTAGACACTCTGCACTATCTAGACTCAGGGGAACTATCCCCCAAGGGCATGCCTGCTCCCCTCCTCTCCCACCTCACTTCTACTCAGGCTGCAGGTATTGGGACTTGAGAGCTGGCAAAGGGTTTTCAGAGAGGCCCAAGAAAGGAAATTGCAACTAGGCTGGCATGGGGAAGCACCAGGTGGAGTGTGTGGGCTGACCCTTACCGAGCGGTCCATGACAATCACTGCAGCCGTGCCCAGGCCCGTCTGTGCCTGCACCAGTGCGTCAAAGTCCATCAGCACCGTCTCACACACGGACTTGGGGATCAGCGGGGTGGATGAGCCGCCAGGGATCACAGCAAGGAGGTTGTCCCAGCCACCTGTGACACCCCCTGCACCCCAAGTCAATCCCCAGAGGGATGGATGGTCAGGCCTGGGGCTGGCATGCCTGCCTAGTCCTGAGACCAGGACTTTTGTCATCCCTTGGACCCAGCCGCTCTCCTGAGGCCCGCCCACTGCTGGTCCCTTCGTGGATACCCTGCCCCTCTTTGCCCCTGGCCTCACCAGCATGCTTCTCAATCAGTTCCTTCAGGGGCACAGACATCTCCTCCTCCACAGTGCAAGGGTGGTTGACGTGACCAGAGATGTTGAATAGTTTGGTGCCTGAGTTGCGTTCCCGACCAAAGCTGGCAAACCAAGTGCCCCCACGGCGGCAGATGGTAGGGGACACAGCCACTGTCTCCACATTGGCCACAGTTGTGGGGCAACCAAACACTCCTTTGGGGAAATGAGAATATCTGGGTAAGGACAGGTTTCCTGGCAGTGGGGTCTGTTCCCACAGTCCCGCTCCCATACCAGAGACCCTGCTCTTTATCCCCTAATCACCTCCAGAGATGCTATACTGCCATGTTCACCACACCTCCAGCTCCTAGAACTGCTCTGCTAAGGCAGAGCCATGGACAGGCTTGGAAGGAGCTGAGGCAGGAGGAAGGCCTGCAGAAGGCACTGGAGGAGCCCATTTTCTGCATCTGGCCCCAGCCCAGAGGGCATCAGAAATGGCATGAGAACAATCCAGCAGGGACTGAAAGCCAGGTCCTGGTTTTCACAGGACACAGCCAGGACAGAGCACAGGGTCAGGCCAGGTCTTACCAACGTCTGCTGGGAAGGGTGGCTTCAGGCGGGGCTTGCCCTGCTTGCCCTCAATGGACTCAATGAGCGCCGTCTCCTCTCCGCATATGTAGGCCCCAGCTCCACGCACCACGAACACATCAAAATCATAGCCAGAGCCACAGGCGTTCTTGCCAATCAGACCTGCCTCATAGGCCTCTCGGATGGCCACCTAGGGAACAAGAATGTGAGCCCCCAGCCCACCCTGATCCCAGGTGTTGGCCTGTAATTTCAGGAGTCACAGAACCCTTGAAGGCCTCCCAAGCTGAGGTTCTGCAGCATAAAGGAAGAGCCCCAAGAAGGGGGCTCTTGGGGCCACGTCCCATTCAGGATGCATGCAGAAGTGACCACCACTGTTCTAGTTCAATCACCAAGAGACCAGGCACTAACATCTAAGAACTGTGCTGGGGAAGAGGTGTATGAGTGGACCAGGCACATTCTTCTCTGCCAATGCCCTTCCTGCCCACCTGCAGATTGGAGGCCTCATTGTAGAACTCCCCGCGGATGTAGATATAGGCAGCACGGGCACCCATGGCCCGGCCCCCGACCAGGCAGCCTTCAACCAGCTTGTGAGGATCATGGCGCATGATCTCCCGATCCTTGCACGTGCCTGGCTCTCCCTCGTCTGCATTCACCACCAGATACTTGGGCCTGTGGGAATTCCCAGGTCAGTCAAGCCACATGGCCACTAGATCTGGGCTCTTAATCACATGCCACCCCTGCTCCACCCAAGTCTCAAAGAAGTCCTTTCTGACAGCCAGTCCCTCTGCCCTCCCAACACATCCCCAGGGTATCTGCTCGCTCACCACCAATGACAGGGAGCTTACTGCCTATTCCATCTCGGGGCAGCTATGACCACAGGAAAAGTCTTTGTTCTGCTTAGCCCAAATGTCTCTCTCTCCCTGTGCTTTCCTGACAGCCAAATTCTGTGCACAGTCACAAAGAGCCTCTCTCAACCTCTGCTACATCCCTGGGAGCAAAAGGAGGTAAAGAAGCCTTCTACCAAAACCTGGGTCAAAAGCTGTATAAACATTCTCTTTCATCTCTGCACGGTACCACTATACCCACTTACAAAAGATAAGCCTAAGATTCAAAAACTCTAATGAGTAGAAGGTAGGTCTGGCATTTGGTTTTTAAGTCTACCTGTGTCAAAATCTTGTGTTGATCTGCTACATCACAAATCTACTCTGAGGACGTCCACAGAGAACAATAAATCCTGGCATCCACCTAAGGCCTGGAAACATTTTCCCACCTCCTTCACCCTGAGTTTTTAAGGAAATAGCCAAGGGCCCAGGCATGCTCCAGCCACCCTCAAGGTCTCTCCTGCAACCACATCTGTCTCCCCACACACACCTGCCATCCGAAGGCTTATTCATGAAGCTCCACTTGAGGCCAGTGGGGAAGCCAGCGCCTCCACGGCCCCGCAGGCCTGATGTCTTGATCTCACCCAGGATCCAGTCAGGCCCCTTCAACAAGATCTCCTTTGTCTTGTACCAGTCACCTCGACTCTGGGCACCTTTAAGCCTGGACAGAGTGTGGAAGGCAGTGAAGAGAAAGCAGAGCTCCAGGACCCACAGGGCTCAGGGTACTTTCTCACCTCCAATCATGGCGGCCATACAGGTTGGTGAAGATACGGTCTTCATCCTTCAGCGAGCCAAATGATGTTTTCTTGGGTGCTGTCTGGGGAGAGGGAGGATCAGGAGGCCCAACAGAGCTCTCTGGGGCCACTGGAGTTGGGCCAAAAGTTACAGATTCTTGGATCCTCCTGCTAGGGAGAGGATGAGCTAGGGGACAGGGCAGAGGCCTAAGCCTCAAACTCTGTAGCATCATAGCTACCACTACCACGTACTGCGTACTTACTGTTTAGCAGTACTAGGCTAAACATTTTACATCCAGAATCCCATTACAACTTCATAATGACCCTGAGATAGAAATGATTTCCTCCATTTTACAGAAGAAACTGAGGCTCAGAGCAAAAGGAACTTATGGAAGGTTACATAGCTGAAAGCAGCAGATAAAATTTTTTTTTTTTTGGAGAGATTTTTGCTATAGGGCACGTGCGCTCGCCAGACAGACAGAGAGAGACATAGAGACAGAAAGCGAGAAATCACCCCCCAGGGGGTATGGTCACGCCGCAATCCCTTCTCCTCCATTCTCCTCTCGGGATCTTGGGCACGCACACACACGCACCTGGCATGAGTTTTAAGCCACCGGGTCCAGGACGCGAACCGCGGTCGACTACGTGGGAGTCCAGCGACATAGCCATTACGCTAACTGCTGGTTCCCGTGCAGCAGATAAAATTTGATCCCAGATCCATTTGCGGCCAAAACCCACACCTGAATCACAGCACCATACCACTTCCCCTGGCCCAGTGCAATGGGACATCTGTTCACTTTGGCTTTCTTACTGGACCAAAAGTTGGTTAGGCTAGGGGTCTTATCTTACAAACTCTCTAACTCTGCTGAAGAGGCAAAATAGGCTTCATGATGGAAAAGAAACCCCTCACTGGAGTTGAGACATAAAGGTGATGGTGGGGGACCACTTGGGATAAAACTGAGGATAAGTGGGGAATGGAATTCCACATGACTCAGTGGAAAGTACTCCTACTGAGGGCGCCTGGTTTCTAGACTCCTGTCCCTTTAAAAAGTGCATCTCGGTCACTCCTGCATGGGGATCTGCAGGTGCAACTCTCCAAAGCTGTTTTCTGAATCTGCAAAATGGTGCAATGACCCCTTCATTCCCTACAAGACCGTGGCAAGAAAGGAATGAGAGACCAGGACTCCACACACTGCAGAACTTCCCGCTAAGCTGAAGGTCTATGAACTACGGGAAATCAGGGAGCTGGAGGGCTGGGATGAGAGTCAGCCTCCCGCTGGAGCCCTTGACTCCCCTTCTACGACCAAGCCAGAGAGGCATCCTTGCTCCCGGGCCTGCGGAGAAAAGAACGGTAGAAGCGCTCCAAAAGGCACTACAGACCAAGAGACCGCGCGCACAGAGACGCGGCAGCGAGACCTGCCGCGAACGTCCCTGGCCCGAGTCAGGCCGGGCCTC